CTTTGTTTAAGGGGGAGAACAACTAAGGAGGGGCATGAGCATGATATGCATGATTTGTGTTGTTGGGATGTCGAACCACATGTTATGACATCAAGCATTGTCTGGGAGAATTTATTTTTCTCTGTAGAATCTTTTTTTTTTTGTGGTTATCTTGAGGTATGTGACAGGGGGGAGTAGGATCTAATTTGTTGATCTTGCCTTTAAGGGTGAGTGTGTATGTTGTGATTGTGATTATAGTTGTAATGTCAAATAGAATGGCAAGACATTGTATTTTAGATTTTTTTTTTTTTTGAGTATCTTGGTGTGTGAGAATTGCTTGTCTCTCTGTGTGTCCTTTTTGTGAGATTGAGTATTTTTTTTAGTGTTGATGCGTGTGCCTTTGATGTGTTCTAGTATTATGCCAAGTTCGTGTTTTTTATTCTTGTAGTTGTTTCTGTTGTTTTTTTGCCAAGGTTGTTTTAGCCAAAATTTGCCAAAGGGGGAGATTATTAGTTCTATGTTTCTAGGATTGGCAGCAATTTTGTGAAAACAAGTATCACAGCAAAATATTGAGCAAGATATCTTGACATGTTATACTAGGTTTTAGGGTTTTACTTCTTGGAAGATGTTTTTTTTAATGTGAGATTCTTTATAGTTTTAGTTCACATCCTGTTGCATTCCAAGGGAGATTATTTTAGGAACATTGGTTCTATACCAGAAGTGCATTTGTTTCATAAAAAGGGACTTGAAGACTTTCTAAGAAACATTATATTTTGTTCCTATTTGTGCAGAAGATTATGCAGAATATTTGCATCTGATTTTTTGGATATGCATTTTATCTAGATGAAGAGCCCAAAGTCTGTGCTTATCCAAAGATATTAAATGACGATTCTAAACCTAATTGGGAATCGAAGTTGTGTTTGTGAATGAAGTTTTTAGGGCTTAGTGTGTTCTTTTTTATTTGTGATCCACTATTATATCATCCTTGATATCTGAGTTGGACCATGTTTATTTGCGAGCCATTATGCATCACTTAGATGCTCGAAGTGGATTGATTTTATGGAGTTGTAACTGTGAATAACTCATGAGCTTTTAAGAAAGAGTTGATTTTGGGTCATTTGAAGTGTGTCATCTATTGTTCATTGTTTTTATCATTATTGTGTGATTGAAGGGAAGTGAGAACGGTGTTATATCTAGGAGTGTTTAGATAGAAATAGCACGGGTAGTGATTAGGTGAAAAGATTGTAAATCAGAGATAGTTTACTTGGGCTTCAAATTAATACTATTATAGTGGATTTCCTTCCTGACTTGGTAGCCCCCAGATGTAGGTGATGTTGCACCGAATTGGGTTAACAATTGACTATGTTATTGACTTCCAACCATTCACTTTAATTGCATAATTGTTTTGTTTATGTTGTTGTCCTGATCCCACTGTCGTGACATCTTACTCGACATCTGGTGTCTGATTATCAAAATTTTAATGAGATAAATGTTGTTCATGCAAATGAGGATATAATCGCTATGGTGAGTGAAATAATGGAAATCAAAGGCAAAGTGCAAGGATGGTGGTATGACACATGTGCTACAATGCATGTCTCTTATGACAAGGCTGCTTTTAAAACATATTCTGAGACAAATGATGGACATAAAGTACAAATGGGAAATGAAGTACGATCTAAAATTGTTGGAACCGGATCGGTCGAACTCAACTTCACTTCCGAAAAGAAATTCACTCTTGTTAATGTGATTCATGTCCCTGACATGAATATTAATCTTGTTATTGGGGATTTGTTGGGTAAATGGGGAATTAAATTTGTATATGAATCAGACAAACATATATTAATCCGTAATGGTGTATTTGTAGGAAAAGGATATTTTGTTGAGGGAATGATCAAATCATGTACTACCGCAAACAAAGAATCTCGTGAGAAAGATTCTTCTCGGAGTATCGAGATACAACCCGAAAGTACTTTCGGATCATTGAAACACAACTCGAGCCTAGGATAAGCAAGAGAGTCCGGAAAACAAAGAATTTAGGACCAAACGAGATCGATTCTCAACTTATTTCCTTTTATCTAGTTGAAGAAAACCGTGAGAATTATGTTCAGACTATTCCTATTATTCTTCAAGTAGAAGATGATCCTAAAACTTACAAGGAAGTTGTGGCTTCAAGGGGCTCTTCCTTTTTTAAGGAGGCTATCCAAGATGAAATGGATTCAATCGCGTCAAATCGCACAGGAACTTGTTGACTTACCAAAGGGATCAAGATCCATTGGATGCAAGTGAGTGTTTAAAAAGAAGTATCATAGTGCCGGTACATTAAACACATATAAGGCAAGATTAGTAGCAAAGAGATTTAGACAAAAAAAAGGGTGTAGATTACTTTGACACATGCACCAGTGGTAAGAACAACAACAATTAGAGTATTGTTTGCCTTAGCCTCTTTAAATGACCTTATAGTTCATCAAATGGATATTAAAATAACATTCTTAAATGGAGATCTCGATGAGGAAATCTACATGGAACAACCAGAAGGCTACATGCTTCCTGGAAACGAACAAAAGGTGTGTAAGGTTGTCAAATTTCTATATGGACTAAAACAATCACCAAAATAATGGTATCAAAAATTTAATTATGTCATGCTTTCAAATGGATTTACTCTCAATTCTTGTGACAAATGTTTATACACAAAGGTACGAAAAATATTGTAATATTCCTTTGTTTATATGTTAATGACATGTTGATAATTAGTAACAACATGAATGAAATTTTAGAGACAAAAAAGGTTCTAACTTCAACATTCAAGATGAAAGATCTTGGATTAGTTGACATAATTTTAGAGATCAAACTAAGGAGAAATAGTAGGGGTTACGAGCTGAGTCAAACACATTATATTGAAAAAAATTCTTGATAAGTTCAAAAACCTAAACTTTAAGGAAGTAACCACTCCATTTAATCATGTCGTCAAACTTCAAAAGAACAATGGAAGAATAGTGACTCAATTGGAGTATGCAAGTGCAATAGGGTGTCTTATGTACTTAATGCAATGTACCAGATCTGACATATCATTTGCAGTTAGTAAAATGAGTAGATTTATTAGTAATCTGAATAAAGAACATTGGAAGGCAATCACAAGGATTTTCGGCTATCTACAAAAGACCAAAAATCTTAGCCTTCATTATGGCAGATTTCCCGCCATACTAGAAGGATATATTGATGTAAGTTGAATATCCAATATTAGAGATCATAAATTCACAATTGTGTGGATATTTACGCTAGCTGGAGGAGCAATTTTTTAAAAGAGCAAGAAACAAGCATGCATTACTCTTTCAACCATGGAATCAGAGTTTGTGGTTCTTGCTTCCGCTGGTCAAGAAGCAAAATGGTTTATGGACCTTCTGTCAGAAATTTCATTGACAAAAGACAATATTCTAAAGGTGTTGATACACTGTGACAACCAAGCCACTTTGCCTAGAGCGTTCAGCGAAATGTATAATGGAAAGTCTATACACATAGGACTTAGACATTCCTTTGTGAGAAAATTGATTAAAGATGAAATCATTTCACTCACCTATATATGAATGAGCTATAATTTGGTTGATCTATTTTCTAACCTACTTACCAAAGACATAGTAAAAACAACATTGAGAGGCATGAGGTTGAACCTCCTTGAGTAAAATTCCGACAGCGACGACAACCCAATCTTACGTTAACAAAACATTAACCTCAAAATTCAAAGGATAGCAACGAGTCGTTGATTTGGATGTTTGTTGAACATTTCATGATAATGTTGACCTTTAAAATGAAAGTTGAATTTTTATTTAAACTCTTAATGAAGTTCAATACCGAGGGTATGTATCTCATGGAAAAGGATACAATATGAACTTCACCTATGTGAATTTCGAGATGGTGTCGTCTCAAAGTGAGAGTTGGAGTTTCTCTCATGAAAAATTCATGAAACAGAAAAGCATATGACCATAAATAAGTGTTAGGCGAGAAATGTTGACCAAAATCCTTAAAGAATGTGTGTAAGGTAACACCAATCTACTCACATGAATTAATGGTTTAAAAGCATTGCTTTCTAACATTCTGATTCGAAAGATACCTAATTGTACACATTTTTTGTTTTCTTTTCTGAAATTAATCTTGTCATTATTGAAACAAGTGGGGGATTGTTATAAATTCATGAACATCTAATGTCCATGTGTGTGTTCTAAAATGATAAGAAAAGTGAAATGACGTAAATGCTAATAAATGCAAGAGAAATTATCTCACATAGAAACATTTACTCACATTCAAAACCTTTAAAGAGTTGAGAACATTAACTCAAGAAAGACAAAAGAGAATAAAATATCACAGACAAATGTGGTGCTCCCAAACATTATGCCACTTGTCTCCTCCATACACTCCACTTCGGTGTTGCCACAAATGACACCGACTTAGGCTCTAGCTCCAAGGGCATTGACGTAGAAGCGCTAGTGGTGGTTGCACTTGAACACTTAGACATAACGCATAAGAACAATCAAACTGAATTACCCTTAATATTTCTATGTTCCAACTCTAAGATATATTTAAAAGTGTTTGAAATACTTCTAAAAAAAGTGATTTCGTTCACGATTCAAATTTAAATCCATTCGACTTTATCGATATTTCTAACCAGTACCACTTAAATACTTAAAAGAAACTGCCTCAAAATTTTAGGTAGTTAAACACACAAGGTGTTCCAAAGCCGTGGTTGTCATGTTTGTGAAACGCTTCACGAGAATGCTTTCATTTTAATGTTTAAATAATTGAAGCATTTGTATAAATGTTGTAACTTGCGTTCTTTTACAACAAAAACAAAGATACCAAAAATTAATTGGAAATAATAAAACTAACAAAAATGTTGATGGAATTGAGAAAATAAGATGGGAAGAGAATTAGTTTTTTTTTGTTGTTGAAGAGGAGGTGCCGAATCTCATTGAAAATTTGATAGCATTCAAAGTACAAAAATATGCATGTTACTCGTTCAACCTGCAGAGTCACTCCAAACTAGCAGCAGCAGCTCCTTTGAGATGATTGTACACACTGAACTCGCCGAAATCCCTTTTTCCACTGGCAAAATAGCGTCCAAAATCAAAGCGTCGGAGAAAGGAATAATAATTCAGTTTCTGCTATGCATAATATTATTATTAATGCACTTCACATAATAATCTAATTGCACCTAAATGAGCTTCAAGTAAACATATTTTTTTTAGCAAGTAGAAAAATAAATAGGTACTAGTCTACCTGTGTTTTATGTCCCATCCACCAGGAAGAAAACGCGGTTTTAAAGTATCCACAAATACTTGTCTCCATCTTTGACAAAACTCTCGAATGCCATCTTCACCAAACTCCTTCAATAAATGATCTACAACGTGTTTCCCATGTGGACCGTGTCCCAAGAGCGATAGTTTTGAATGGTGTTTTGTTTGTGTTGAATCTTCATCTCTGAGCGATTCTTCATGTTTGGAATATGATAAGTCGCTTGCAACATTTGGTTGACTTTTGCTCAGACTCTCATCAGCATTTACAGCAGAGTTACTTGTTTCATCATCATTGTCATTATCATCGTCATCGTTTGTAGTTTTAACTAAAATGATATTTCCATTTGAATTAGCTTTATCAGCGGCAAGATCAGAAGTCAAAGAGGGTTTTCCGAAATCATCTTCTCTATTATCTCTACTTACTGTATCTTCATTTGCAGATGAACCATCAAGAGTATCAATATTCAATGTGTCCTTAATACTAATAATTCCAGGTGAGTGATCAGCATGATTTTCCCCTTGTGGCACTGCAACAGTATTTCCTGTGGAAAGTTTAAATGACACCCCTCTCTTTTTCTCATATCTTCTTCTCTCATAAGGACGCATGCCAACTTGCAAAGCACTTTCTAGATCCTCCTCAGATATCTCCCTTCCTCCATAATATTTCTTTACAATCTAGAAAGAAAGAAAAGACTAACGTCATAATTAGAAGATCTTGCAGTTGAAGTTTTTCAAGAACAATAATGAGCAACAATAAGCTACTAGGTTTTAGTCTTGACTACATAGGCTTGGCCTAAGTGTCTTTCTTATGTACTACTTTTTTTAGCTTAACGATATAAATATGAGGATCACAACACATTGTACTGTATTCCATTAAATTATTCTGTGTCTCCACCACTCTTTCTACACTCTACAATATCTATTCAAACTACAATAGCTATGTGTCAGAGCAATCAATAACAGATGAAAATATGACCAAACCTCGGTCAGTTCTTCACGTCGCTCAAGAGGCATTCTTGGCCCATGACGTAGAAGAGCCACAGCAGCTGATCGTAATTGTAACGGAGATACACCTCCCTCATCATTAGGTTTTTCAGTCTCTTGCCCTGGATGAATTACTCTACGAACATACAGAGGAATCCCATATTCTGAAGCTATTTTTCTTTTATACTTCTCCGCAGCAGCATGGGCAACTTCATGGCAATCCACACAAAGTAGGACAATATCATGAGAGCGATGACTCTTCAAATGCTCAGGGAAATGTATTCTGTAGCATGAAGGGATTATTCGATATCGTAAGTAGTGACTTCCTTCACCACATCCAACACATATATTTTTCTTACTCTGGATATAAAAATCATTGCCTTCATCCTCAGGGCGGCCTTTGGGTTCAAAAAGAAGCATTATACCTGGGGGGTCCTCCTCAACAAGTTTTGCTAGATCCCGGTTTAGGTACCTGGAGAGTTGAACATTTATCATGTAGAAGCAGACCTTTTGGTCTCTTATATAAATGGAATAAAAGCAAGTAAAAGTGTACAAACCATTCAAGCTTCTTCCGATCACAGTAACAAAGCAGTCTCCCATCATTAGCAAATATCCGGCAATTGTGATAAACAGGAGATTTGCAAGAGAATTTTTTAACGAATGAATTTCGAGAAGCATTCCGTGAATGTTGTCGAGGATTTTTTAGGCATGAGTGCTTATAGGATAATAAGGTCGGTCTCGGGTTACTATTAACCAACAAAGCATAATTAAATATGTTAAGTTTACAACTTCCATTTTGACCTAGACACTTCTGAAGAATCACAGAATAAATGTCACCATGGTTAACCAACTCATTTGCAAGCAGACGAGATATATCACTCAGGTGGCTGCAAACAACAGGAGATGGGGAAGGGATGCAAGAGCTCAGACCCGTTTCGGTATTGACATCAGTCTGAACTATGGTGTTGTATATTTCAGAGTTACTTGCTGGAAGCTGACTTGCCAAAGCAATAATTGCCTGGTCTGATAGTACATATTTCATGCTTTCATCATGAATACGTGCCTGAAAGGATGAACATGCCAGCGAATAATTAGCTTATGAAGCTAAAAATATAATTTTCTAAAATCAAATAGAAAATGATCAGCACCACATCAAATTTGTAACCAAGAAACAAAATATTGATTTATGAATTTAGTTCATTCCTTAAAAACAAAGAGTAGATACAGTTTGACTTAGTTTTGCATATTCTTTCGGTCATAAATTATGTTAGAAACAAAAATTCAGCCTAAATATTTTGACCACTATAAACTTGACGGATTATCACCAATTAGTTATTGAACAAATGTCAAGTATTTTCAATTGGATTGAATTTAAACATATTTAAGCAATCTTCAATATACTTGGTTAACTTTCTTCCTTTATTTAAGACCAGTATATAACTCCAAAGTCTCATTTCCAAAAGGTTTATCATGTGTAAACCACATGCATGTATGTAACATTAATTTTAAGACACATGTTAAGATTTCTCCATCGACTATCAACACGGAGAATAAATTCCTGTTCCATCTCATAATTTGCAAACTAACATGTTACAGTGGTCTTCAACTCAAAGACATGGAAAAAGGTATAGTTTATAGCAACAAAACTGTTATTAATGGTAGCTGAACTTAAGGAGCCTTTATACATAACTCACCATCAAATCTCTCCATGTGCACAGCTGCCTCACTGTATACAGAAACTGCAATCAAAGAATCGTGTTAGAACAATATATCTGGCTTAATCACTCACACTACTTCGAATCCATACTAAAGCAGCAAACCTGGGTTTCATTGGAAATTGAAGGAAATTCTTTATTGCTCTGATGACGTGAAAATAAGGATAATGCAGCAGATTCTCCTGGCGAAGCTTCAATCTCCTTTGTGAAAAGTTGTAAACAAGTCATGTTTGAACGCCGACTAGCCTCGAGAACAAAATGGAATTTTTCATCGGAACAAGAGTTTTCTGATACAACAAATTCAGAATTTTGAGCAAACATAAACAAAGAATGATCTTAACGAATTGTTATAAAAGATCATTGCTTCAGTCAGTTCAATAAAGTTAACCTCGCAAAATGACAAAATGCTTAGGACTACAAAATAATTATGGGTTGCATATCTAGCACATTCTGAAACAGTCTGCTTATTTCTATTGCTGGGTTTTCTGGGCATGGGAAAGATATAACAGAGGAGAAAGAGAGATTGACAAGGTAGATATTCAAAGCTTCAGTCTACTAAAATGCTTGTTGCTTTTATGTGAGAAATTTCTATTTGCTATCTTTAACCGCAATGAGTCAAGAAGGAATACCATTGTCCAGTTGTTTTAGTTCAGCGATTAGACAGTTTGCAATATACAACAAATAGTGTGCATCTGTTCGTGCATAATGTACCATTTCTTCTGAGAGAGGGCGCTGCCTCCAGTCTTCACGCTACAATCAAGCATATAAAAGACATAGTAATTCTATTCAGTATCTGAAAAGACGTCATTAGTTAACTGAGCAAAGGGAAAATTTTGTAAAAATAATTTATGTTTGATGTACCTCATGCTAAAAATGATTTATTATTTATTATTATTTAAACATCTAGCATTTCCTTTTAGTTCACTAAATAGTATAACTTGATCATTCAATTATAATCTTTTTATTCATACTTCTAAAGTCCTCCTCATCAGTTCAACAAACTCAAGTCAACTGTTTGGGGTTGAATTCCTTTATTACAAGTTAAAATTCCAATCCCATGTGCATACGAGAAATATCATTATAGTTTATCTGACTTAACATGTGAAACAATAATTAATAAGAAAATTACAAAATCTTCGTAAGAGAGAGTTAATAAACTTTCACATTCTAGATAAGCCACTAAAGAAGTCTATCATTCTTTTAGAAAACACAGAATTCATTTTAGATTCATCTTTGCTATTTATTACATGAATAAATGAAAAACATGGGAAATGCATTCTACTTAATATAGCCACGCTAACAAGAAAATGCTTAAGATCTACAACATCATTGATGACAACCGATGAATTCATTCAATGCAGGAAATCAAGCATAATCAAGGCAAACCTGCAATAATTTATTTGTTGTCACACCACAGTAAGTTTCTAGTAAATAAGCAAGTGATTTTTGTGGTTTTGATAGCACCTCACATGCCTGCATAACATGAACCCAGATAAATAATAAGTTCCAGATCAATGGTAAATGGAAAATGGAAGACTTTTCTGTACACTATCATGCATGAGGAGAAATTTTGCATGGTACTATGTAAATGGCTTCGGATGCATAGTAAGGCAACATGATAGCACGTGAATAGATTACCTTTGAAGTATCAAATAGATTAACAATGTATATGTGAAAGTCCCTCTGTAGCCAGAGAACATCATTGTCGGCCCCATGGAACACCTACCCACAAATTTTCCATTGAAAAAAAAAACTGAAGCAAATAGATTTGGACAACAAAAACAGAGACAGATAAATAAATTAAAATATCGATGATAAATGCTATGCTTTAATTTAATCACAAACATGTGGTGCAGCCTAGATATATAAAGAGTAAAAAGAATCTGAATTATTCTAACTTTATCATTTCATAAAAGAAATTAGACTTAAAAATATCAACTTATTGAAACATGACACCGATAACTTACATACTTTACAAATTGAAGGGTTAGCAAAAACTGGCCGAAGAATTTCCATAGAATCATGCAGGGCAATAGTATCAATCAAATAATCTTCCTGTTGAGTAGAAATCTGGTTGACAACATATAAAAAACATGTGTATCATGCACAAAATTATCAAAAATTAAGTTATTGGCATAACATACTCGATGAAATTTTGGAGACAGCATGAAATTACCTGAACTAATCCTGTAAAGCCTAGAAATGAGTGCAAGCTATGTTGTTCTGTATCCACACCAAAGAACATTTCCTTGCTCAATACATAGACCAGTTCCTTTAACTGCATCTCTGTATCGACCCAAGCATATGAATCATTCATTTCTAACTTCTCAGCTCCAAGTTCAATTTCAGGCTGGTGATTACTTAACAATGCTGTAATCTCCGCCTCAAACGGATGCAAATTTGAACCATTCTCTGCATACACGCACGCACAAAAAACACTACACTCAGTGTGTCCTTAAGACTTAACAATCTTGCATACAAAACTCAATGTAGCAGATCAAAGACAATACAAAAGAAAACATAAACAATGAATTTCTAGATCTAGCTTTCAGTACTCAGCGCCAAATTTCAAATAAATCACATTATTTCAAATTTAAAACTCAATCAATTAAGTTATATCAAATATCAAGAGATTCTACCGTATTTTCACTGATAACTAGGTTAAACTAGATTAATTGAAACTATTTCAACCATTCATTTCCCTAACCTTAAGCAAAAATTTCAACAATCAAAGTCCTCAAACAATCGGAAGCAAGCGAACATGCGAAAACAACAACTATGAAGTTACTGCGACGGAGAATCAAGATATGAACACATGAATTTTCGGAAGATTTATTTTCCGTCGAAAGCAACCAAACGTACCGTTACTACCGGAGGCTTTCATGCTCAAATGCTTAAACGGCGTGTAGGAGTTATCAGCTAAGACTCTCTTAAACGTCGACTGGGGCTTCGGTTCGGAATGTGAGTAACACGAATTGGAAAGAGACTCGCGCTGCTTCCGCCTCGTTCGGCGGCGTACGGTGAAGATGATGGAGATTATGGCAGCTGCTAAAGTGGCGATCGTGAATGCCACGCGCGTTTTTCGTTCGTTGTTCATTTTTTCTTCTCTGTTTTGAGGAGTTGAGTCTGTTTGGGTTGTGCGCAGAGAGAACGGTTGAGGCGGTGGTTTGCTGCCGTTACGAGTGGCGGCGATGTAATAATTAAGACGGTGTTTTGTTGGACTTACGTGGCAAATTCAAATGATACTTTGTTGAAGAATTGGGTCTAAGAGTGAAAAGGCCCGAGTTGGAATAGATAGGTTAAGAGATTGAGAATTTCTAATGCATCCTTAATACTTCTTAGCCAACCTGAGAAATTGTTTAAATGTTTTTAGTTTTGGAGATCGGTTGCATTAATTTTTTAATAAATATTAAAATATTTTATAGATACATTTTCGGAATAATTTAAAATATTATATATATTTTCTTTAAAAATTATTTGCGTTCAGACAGGCACTCCGTTCGTTTTTGTTAATTTTTTGTGTATTTATTTTTTATTTTAATTAAATTATTTATAAAATAATAGAGTGAAAGAGATATGCAAACCACCATATAGAGGTTAATGAAAAAGAAGTTGAGATTTAAAACAAAAACTGAAAAGGATATAATTAGAACAAAAATAGGCTACACCAAAAGAAAGTTTTGCCTTTATATATAGGTATAGATTTACATTTGAATTGTACAAGAGATGCATCTTCGTGAATATTCCGGAGATAAATCTCCAAAACATATCAGAACAGATATTTCATGTTATATGTTGTCTATGTGTGTTCAGGTGAAGATTAAAAATACACCATACAATCGGAAAAAAAAAACACACACAAAATTCCAAATGGACCAAAAATGACATACAAAAATAAAATACCAATAAATGTCAAAAATATCGTACAACCGAGATCAATAAAGTAGTAAGACCGTCAAAATAAAGTACAGACCATAGTACTACAACTATATAATAAGAAACTATTGTGTGTGTCTGACAACCTCTCTTTTACCTCCTCTGTCTTATCTACATCCTCGACCATCAATCTCCTTTGTCCTCCAACGATGTCTCCGGTACAATATTGCCCACTGTGCCTCTGTCATGATGGCATCTAGGACTCATCGAACATCAGATCTGTCAGGGAAGATACTTGTGTCAATGACTGCCTGCTCCTCCTCTAGTATCTCTTGATGAGCTAGTATCAGTGAATCTCTTGAAGCTGTTGTTTCCCTTGAAAATCGGAAAACATCCGCTGATCTTCCAAATCTAACTTTGGTGACTCACAAGATCGATCAGATTGATCCTAGGACATGTGCTAAAGGTTTTCCTCGAACATTCATCTAAGTTTTACGCTTTTGACAATATTTGGGAGAAGGTTCTTAAAGGTTATCTATTCGACTCTAGTATAAAAACACATAAAGTTCTAACAAAGAAAAAGATACAAGTTTTAAAAGAAAGAAGTTGAGGAGGAGGACGAAGTAAAAAAGGGAATGGAAAGGGAAGAAGGTTTGCAAGAAAGATAAGGAAGACTTTGTAAAATTTAAACAAGTAAAATAGACTTCATTAAAAATAAAAGGTGGTATGTTTACATTACGTACATTCTCTTCAATACTCTCTTTCTCTGCACTCGGGTACTTGGAGTAAGTTTAAGAGTGACTTGTACAATAGTAAAATTTTCCACACATATTCTATGTTTAACACTTCCTATTTATAATAGCAAAAAATAACTACTAATAACTTCCCACATCACCATCTTTCGCCACTTGTCACGATGCATGGATCTATTGTTCATAAGGTGCCATGTGTCCTCTTAGTCATCTTGGCGAACGAAATTGTTCCCTCCAAGTTATTTGAATTTTAAATCTTCAGAAAAAACCACCAAACAGTAACACGGTCGAAGCCTTTGTTGTTTCAAGTCTGGTGAGTGCTTCGACTATTCCTCCTTATCTATCTCACATCATTCGACCAACTCTCGCCTCCAACCAGCTTTCAATGCTTTTCCTTAGATCTCTTCATTTTGCGAGAGGCATCGAATTTAGGAGCTAACAAACTGCCCCCCAAAAAATGTCTTTTCGATCCCTTATGTGAAAAAGCACATTTTTTTGACAGCATTTGATTTCGACGCCGTTTACTTTCCTCCACGTGTCAGCCAATATCCTTTCAGCAAATGAATGTCTGGGAAGGTGAAAAGAGAAGAAAGAAAAAAAAGAAAATAGAAAAGAACACGCAAGAAACTGCTCCGCTACCTTGAGGCACATTCCTAACGTTATGATCATCATGGCGATTTTCTCGGGAACTACTAAAATCGTGAACCATCATCACCTTTTCAGCCTAGGGGGTGTAAATTGCAACCGCTACCCCTGTCACTCCACTTCAAGCGCACACGTGGCCCACTAACTTCATCCACTTAATGATGAGACTTTTAGTCTTACATACTCTATATAAATGATTTTCCTCCAGTATTATCATTTTTCCCAACATTTTCAACTCTTAGCAAAACTCTTGCGTTTTTCTTCCTCAAATTTCTCTTCTCCTTAAAAACTCCTTTGCTAATTTCAATAATGGCCGATCATCAGAAGAAGAAGACGTATCTCAAAGGGCAATCTTCTACATCAGCTCTCCCACCTTTTGCTAACTTAAGCGGTCCTAAAGTAGTGAAGAATCAACAGTTTGTTCGCGAACCTTTGTCAGAAGAAAAGCGCCACATCTATGAATCACAAGCAATCATCCCAATTACTGTTGTAGGTAGACCCTTAGCAATGTCTGGCCCGTTACCTCCTTTAGGTCTTGATTACTCTAGTATTAGCGACTTCTTTCCTTCCTATAGAATCACCAAACATTTAGGGCAAAAAGATTCTGGCAGAGTCCCCGCTGATGGTCCCAATAACCTAACTCTTTTCGACGTGGACCTTAGGTATCTCCACGATGGAGCCAGATTGTTTAGAGCCACCCCTTACTTCAAGGATTCTGAACTTTACCTCAATTGGTTGGAAAAAGTAGAAAAGGTGAAAGCCCAGGATTGGAAAGAAACTGGCATTTACGACCTTATAATGATGTTGAAGGTCGGCCCTACTTACTGTCCTCTTATGCTGGCTTCTTCTTTGTTTTTCTAGGACAGCACCCATAACACTTTTCATCTTCCTTGTGGGATGATGACACCTACATTGTTTGATGTAGCTGCTATTGTGGGTCTAAAACCCCCATGGACTTGTTTATGACCCTGAAGTTGATAGCCAGGACACTATAGGATTTGCCAGCACAAAACATACTTATACGGCCTTCGTCCAACACTATCATAACAAAACCACCACTTATGTCGAAAATGAGGAACATATAGCCTTCCTGGCCATGTGGTTATCTCGCTGTGTGTTTTGTACAAAATCTCTGCAGGTGGCACGAAAATATCTTGTTTTGGCGAACCAGCTACACTTGAAAAAGAGGTATCTGCCTGAGCGAGATGATTTTGGCCAGCCTTTATGAAGCCTTGGGCGAAGGTGCTGCCAAATTGAAGGACCCTGAAAGTCATGGCAACTTACTGTTATCAGGCCCTTTCTGGCTACTCCAGTTGTGGCTCAATGCCACTTTTGAACATAACCTCCCCAACAAAGGCGAAGTCGACGAAGGTTCGTCTTCAGTTTCTGATAGACGAGTCGAATGGCCCCGCTTGGCCCAGCTCACTCCCAACAAAGAAGAACATACTCTTTGAGCCAACCTATCCAACTTCATTCATATGTTCGCAAAACGGTACGAGTTTACTTCAAGGATGGCTCCTTTTGCAGAAAGAAGATGTGGCCCTGAGTGGTTCACTAGGTCCTTCCCTGCTCTACTAAAGAAACAAGAGGAGGAATCGAAGTTAATTTGGGACCGATTCCTCATACCTCGACTGCTGGTTCATAAACTAAACCTTGTCAGGGGTTAGGCCACCTTAGTAGCCTACCAGCCAAACTTGGTGTCCAGGCAATTTGGGTTAATACAGACTTTGCCCAAGTGTTTATATGATAAGCAATCACACATCATACTTCCCCTCACGGTGCTTTCTCCCCTCGACTGTTCAACATAATTGGCGCGTCATGCCCATAAATCCCTTCTTACGCCTGTCCATTTTGAACCCTCCTACTTCTGCTCCCCAAATTTTTACGACTGGTGGTCAAAACATTATGCCTCAGAGTTTCTTGACGCTTCGAGCTTTACTCGCTTGATTGACCAAGCTTTCATTGATGTGTAGGAGAAGATCAAGAAAGGTACGTCTACCCATATCAAAGAGATTCAAGCCTTCTAGAAGTACTTCGAAACTGTCTATCGACCAGACGATGTTAGTTGGACCATCCGCGAGGCTGTTGTTACTTTAAAGGAAAAGTTTTCTAAAAAATGGAAAATTTAAAGATTCCCTCATTTGTTCCTCGTGAGAAACGGTATGAGGTTTCCTTTAAACTCTTTCCCCCGAAAATCCCTCGATTACCAACTGCTGGTTTTGGCGTGGCTCTTGCCCCTCCAATTCCAGATAGGTTCATCTGTAGAGATCCTATAAAGATCCTTCGACAGCAGTCGAAACCCAAAGCGTAGCGGGTGGTTCCGACTAAACATACACTCGATACTTTTAAAGGGCACCTTCATGTTAGTATCGAAGATGTTCGCATCGAATCCGACATTCTTGAAGGTTCATCCCCCTTCGATTTGGACTCTTCTACCTAAGCTTTATTGTTACTAACTGGTATTGGCATGATTTATTTTTTGCAGCTGCTTCTAAAAGGACTGCCCCAACACCAAAAACTGAAGGCAAGGTCGAAGACCAAAAGGTAATCTCCCGTAAGCCTCTGTTATTTTGACTTCCTTAATTACTCTTAACACCCTATGTTGCTTCCAGGCTAGTCGAAAACCACCCACCCCACAAAAGAGGCTCAAAAGGGCTTCTACTCAGATTATCATTGACTTAGATGACGAAGACGGATCTCTTTGCAAAAATGTTCAAATAAAAAGAAGGCAAAAAATCACCCACGACCTGGATACTTTTGATGCTCCATCTGCTCCCCCTACAACCAACATTCCCCAATCCAACACTCCCCCTCAAGATCTTAC